AATTTGAGCGGCCGTGCTCGCGGCATTGTAACGTCAATCGAATAAACTATCATTTTTACTCATATCGATTTAGAAAGGTGCAGCGCGCGATGGCTAGTTAATGAACCGCGACTGTCGTGATGCAAACGAGCCGGAAGATCTATGTCGCTTTGAAGGACAAGTAAACGAAACGTGTGCGTCGCGTTCGCGAAGCGATTTGTGAACGACGCGACGGCCACGATGGATCTTACGTAACGCCGACATCCTGACAGCGGCAGGACCTTCATTCCTTCTCACCGCTCGTCTTCGATCTCAGAAAGGAATTCGAGGGTGAGCGAGAAAGAGAAGAGCCGAGTCAGATGCTCGGGCAAAAGAGAGATAGAGGAAAGAGGACGGAGAACGATATGGAGAAAAACTAGGAAACCATTATCGTGCCTGATTGTTAGAACGTGAGGTTTCTAAGGACACGGAAAGAATAATTTTGCCGAAGAATTTAAAAAATTCAGCTAGATATAGATTCGTAAAGAATTTCATTGAACCGTCGAAATAACTACGGAGAAATCTCAAGCACGATGCTGCAACAAGTTTTGACCTTCTAGTGATCAATTCGCGAGCGTCCTGTGTAATTATTTCGATTGTTCCATAAAATTATTTTTAGATTTGTACTGAACTCCATTCCTTTCCATGTACATGGCACGTGAAAAATAAATTAAATCTTTAAATTGCATCAATTATTATAAACTTGTCATTCCGTTCTAAATAAAGTTCGGGAAGCAGGAATATATTTTTAATAAAGATTTAAGAGACTTTACTCGGCGATTCGAAAAACATCAAAACCGATGGTGTATAATAAGTATACGATATTCGTAATGTATAATAAATACAGCTTCCCGGACTGCATATTTTCGCTCCTACCTTCGCTCGCCAAAAGAGAATCTTTCGGATTAACATTCAATGACTGTAATTACGTATATACATAGTTACGTAAGCGAGAGAAGGAGGAAGAGAGAGAGAGAGAGAGAGAGAGAGAGAGAAGGCACGAGTGCGGTAGCGAAAGAGGAGGAGCTCTTAAAAAGAGCGAGGCAGAGGGTCTCCACGGTGGAGACGAGGATAGAAGGAGTCCATCAAGCAAAACTCACCCTGTTGCATTCCAGAGCCTCGGCGCTGTGCTCCTCCTTCTGCTTGAAGCAGCTGCTGCACTTGCTCTTGTTGAATATGTTCGGCGCGAACTTCCTGCACTCGGCGCCGGTGCCGCGGACGCTGCCGCCGCCCGCCGTGCCACCCGACATAACGCGACACGTGCGAATTAACCGCGATGATCGCAGCCGAGGCACAGCATCGCCCTTCGCGCCGCCGCGGATCTGCCTGCACCCGGACACCCTCTCCGCTTTCCCGCTTCCTGGTTACGCTCCGCTCCGCGCCGGCACCGTTCCGTTCCCCTCGCGGCGACCGCGAGTCGCCTTCCCAGGAAGTGTTTACACCCGCCTGCGTACTTCGCGCAAAGTGTCACTTTCACGCCCAGGGTCACGAGTCCCGGCGGCGTGACGTAAACGCGTGGCGCCTTCGTGTGTCACGCACTCTGTGTACTCCGGGATATCGCGGACACGGAGAGAGCGACCCGGAGGTCGTTGACGTGATGATGCACCCGGCGGGAACCCGTCAGCCGCGGCGTGGACGCGGATAAACCCCGCCACTCCCGGAAACGCCCGCACTCGTTGGCGCACGTCCGAGACTGATTCCCGGAGCGAGGGGAGAAAATCGCGACGAGAGAGTCCTCGAGGTGGAAAACGATTTTGATCGCAAGCAGCCCGTCGACTGTTCTCTACGCACGTTAACGTTTCGGTGTCGCGTGTTTACGATCGCGCGACTCCGCACGGCTCTCACACGGCAGCCGCGAGCGAGCGCAGCGCAGCCGTGGATATGCACACACACCCGCGCGTACAGCACACTCCTCGTCGACTGTCAGAGCGCGCGGCGGATCCGGTCGAACACTCGCCTCGGCCCCCCCACTCGGCGGCGCGTAAACTCACACACACACACACACACACACTTCCTCGCTCCTCTCGCCGTACGTATCCCCCGTCGATCGACGCGGCGCGGCGGCCACGACCTCGCCTCACCTCCCCGCGCCGCTCCTACCACCTCTCCTACGTCCCGCTGCTCGATCCTCCCGTGGAGAGCACGTGGATTTACGCCGTCGTCGTCGCTCCGAGTCCACTCACGCCGCCGATTGTCACGCGAGTCGTCAACCGCTACCGAACGTCGTCGCCGCCGTCGGACATTCGAAAACATGTCACTCGCCGCGCGCGCGCAGACGCGGGACGGGCGCGCACGTGTGTGCGCCGCGGGCTTCACGCCGTTCCGCGAATCTCTCGCGCGCGGCGCACTTCAGAGCGCTCGAGATCTATCGGCGCCCCGCGCGCGATTCAACACGCGAAGGGGGAAACGAGGAATTTTCGGGCGTGTAACGACACCGCGGCGAGCGATTGATCCCGCGCGCGCACGTTCCGTTCACTCCGGCCGAATGTCACCGCGACGGGGGCGCGTAATCCTAATCTCGCGTAGCAGAAACGCACGACAGGCGCGGATTTGTAAGCGACACGGCGCGGGGTAATTATGACAGTGTATGACACGGAACGTCGCGCTGCTCGTGCGCTCGCGCGAACGTCCATCTGCGATCTCGCTCCGTTTAATTCTATCTCCGCGCGCGCTCCGTCCGACTCTCTCACGTCCGCTCGACCGCGGAACACACCGTGCGCAGTTTTCACTACGCGCAGCTCGATCGCGAATGTAGTCCCCCGCCTATCGCGCCGCCACGGCGCGATCACCTGAACTTCCGCGATTATCGACATTCCGCGCGCCCGTTTCGCTCGATTCGCGGACGATTCCTGGAATTGCAAAATGACCGGGCTTGGAAAAATTACTTTACGAGCTACTTATAAATTGCTTTTCATTATAGAAATTGAGTACAGTAAATTGGGAGATTTTATTTCTTAGATTATATAACGTGTAGTGAGAAGGCTCGTTATAAGTTTTTCAAACTAATAATAAAGAGAGATAGGGTTTACGAGCAAAGAAATTCGTTAAAACATTTAATTTTATTCTAATATATTGCGAAGAATATTACGTTATAAACGCCAAAAATAACGTAATACCCTTCGCAATATAATAGAATAAAATTAAATGTTTTAACGAATTTGTTTGCTCGTAAACTCTTTCTCTCTTTATTTCTTAGATTATATTTTATCATTTGCTCCAACTGTATTACTTTTTGTACTCGATTTCTGTAACAATCGCATAATATAACATAAATAACGTGAAAAATAACTTGTGAATTTTTCTAACTCTGAAAATATAGCAGGACCGTCACAAATTTTTTATCCTAAAATTCCAATACTGTTCTGATTTCCAAACAAAATTTTATGAGTTTCGCAGACTTTCGATAACGTCTTGAAATTTTATGCGTTTTTGTTCCAATTCGGAAACCGTTATATTTTGTTGAGAGATCAATTTTTAACATAAAACAATGTATTATAAATTCTGTACATGCTTATTGTATGTAAGTATAGTTATATTAAACTTCTTTAAAAAGCCAACAATTTTAATTTTCTATATAATTTTGCAAAATTTTTCCTGACTTTTTCCCCTAATCGTTTTCAATTTCCTCGACAATTCCAAGATTTCCAGTTTTGCAGCAACCCCAAATGAGCATTGAATAAATGGTAACCGCTCGTTTCTTAGCTTTTTCAGTATTTTTTACACCGCATCCCTTTTCCCAGCTTCCTTCACGTAGGTACGCGCATTTCGTCTCACGCTTGAAACGCGGAATGCGTAAGAAGTACGAACGAAACAAATGGATTAGTCATGTACTTATCGTAAAGTCGGCTCGTCTCGTTTGTGCTTTCCGTACTCTTTGTTTCTTTCCCCCTTTCTCTCTTTTCCGTAAATATATGTTCGATCAATACCAAGGCGAACGAGAGGAAATGCAGGGAAACAGACTCACCCGCTTTTTTGTTGAAATAATAATTCTCATGAATTTTCAAAAACTGACGTTTAAAAAATGCGGCATGACGCACATTTGACAACGAATCGAAATGGCTGTGTTCGGCTGGAGAAACAACTTTGCAACCGTTGTGAAATTCTTTAATATGATTGGTCTTATTTTTTTAATAACAGTAATTCCTCACTGGATTTAAATATATAAAATAAACTAATCGCATTCGAAAATTTTACAATAGGTAGTAATGCTACTTTCTTTTACTAAACGCAGCAATTTATTCTGTTGTTCGTCGAAAAATTCAAATATGTGGCGTAAAGAGACAGCACTGCACTTAAAAGTAGTGCAAACCCCTTAATCGATACATTTTTAGAAAAATAATAGTAACACACAATTTAAATTAATAAATTAAATTAAATTTGGATCGATAATTATATAGAATAATTGAATGTCTTTATATTTAAATTATATTTCCTATATTTTTCCTGAAATTAGAATATTAATTTGTTCAGCACGGAAACATATAAAAATAGTTGTACAGATACTTTAATTTATTAATTCTAATTTGAACTTAATTTGAAAAATTTCACTTTGACCCATTTGAGAATCAAAATATGTACGCTGTCGTTCACAATCGATCGACGATTCTACTTTTCATCGCACGATTAATATCAAATGTTATAAAATTAATTAACAACCGTCAGCTTCCAAAGTAATTACCTTACAGATTACATTTTGATGGAAATTTATTTTGTCGCTCGTTCGAGACCTCCTCCGCGGTACGACGAGTTTAATACCAGAAATTACGATCGGTAAAATAATTCGCACCCTTTGCCTTTCCAGGTGGCTCGTTTGAAACCGGAAACGAAGGACGAAACGTTCAAACCGCGCCACCGCTGTATCCAACAGAAAATTTAAAAATCGCCGGTACCGCCGGAGTCGCGCGAGCGACCCGCCACTCGCGCGCGCCCATCAGCTGATTTTTGCGTCCGGTTCGACGAGTCATGCTTTTTCTTCCGGTCCGATGCAGACCGCCGTTTCAGTATCTGCGGGATCGACGGTGAAGATGGTAGATGAAACTGGTGACAGGTTCGTAAACGGGATCCGCTCCCCGCTGCCGTCCGCGACGTCTCGGCACTTTCCGCGCGAGAGAAACGTCGCCGGGCCGACGTCTCGGTGACGCGCGATCCCCCCGTCGCCATTGCAACGGAATTAACCTCAAAGCCACCGCGACAGCGCGCGGCGAATTGATCTGTGATAAGTCTCTGGGCCTCGCGTGACTCCGAACACCTTCGGGAATGTTAAATTCTTGATCTCGAGACGATACTCGACTCGATTTCGTGAGGCACAGAGGAGATTTTTAGTCGCGACTCCGATTCGTCGCACTTCATTGGAGCGGCTTGCATCGGCTTCTGTCACTTTCACTATCGTTCTTTTCCAGATCTTTAATATATATATATGTATATATGTATGTATACGCATGTATATATATATCTCATCTCGTTATTTTGATAATTAATCGCGTCTAATCACGAAGCCGTACAAAATACACGACTTCGATCTTACAATTAATCTCACCGAGACGACTTAATACGCGATCAAAACAAATCTTACGTCGATTGACTGTAAACTGTAATCTGTGTCTTACATAACGCATGAAAGGAAGAAATCTCAAAGAGGCCGGGATTCAATATTGTTTACAGTATTTCATAATGCATAAATCGCAGTTATATGTAGCGTATACATATTATGAATGAACTCCAAACTAACCCTTTATATAAGAATAATTTAACCTTTTACTTTTCCTTTTTTAAAAGAGCTTGCATTTAATAAAAATAACCTTGGTACGCTGAAGAAAATTACATAATTATCGCAAATGCAATTATGTTGCAAAGTGCAACATCAAGTTGGAAAGTGCGTGAATAGCATGGAACATTCTAGCAGTTACATTCAGCAGAAAAAGCTTCCCCCTGCTTCCCTCCTTCCAGCTTTGCGACTGTTATAAAATTCCTTAATATGATTAGTCTTTTCCTTAGTCTTCCATCTCACCGAATCTGAATTTATAAATACCAATCATGTTAAAAAGTCCTACAAAAGTTGTCAAGCTGCTTTTTCTGCTGAATACAGTCATTGCTGCAGTAAAGTTACAACATTTTGTGGCGACATTCTTGGAATGTTCTATGCTATCTGATTATACGTTTATACATTTGTTTTTTTTTTTTCTTGTAGGGATGAATCCTCTAATGTTGCCATTATCAGAGAAGTGTACGACAGTGAAAATGCCCACGAGACATTTGAATACGAGTTAGAGCGAGCGTTAGAATCAGAATGCAGTTTAATCGTTATCGAGCCGTCGAAATTAGGTGATGAAACCTCCAGATGGATAGCGGTAGGAAATTGTCTCCACAAGACTGCCGCATTGTCAGGTCTTGCTGCAATCGTCACAGGTTTGTGTAATTTATATAAGTATGTATAAAAAATCTTCTCTCATATACATTATTACAATTATTATTATAGAGAGATATCAAGGATTTTTAATTCTAGGCTTGAATGTATCAGCATTGCTTATTGCCTTCCTTTTCCTATGTCCACTAAGAACAAAAAAATACCATAAGTGTTACATACATCAAGTCTGAAATTATAAATCTGAACAGCTCTATTGTAATATTATTCTTAATAAATTATATGTAAGTGTTACAATGTTATATGTATGTGTTATAATTATATATTATCTATTGTGGCTTAAAATTACATATATTGCTGATTAATAATATATTTTACAATATCTCTTACAGGTTTAGTTTGGGGCGATCGACCATACATCTGTGGTCCACTAGGTTTTACGTCAGTTATAACCTGCGGATTATACACGGTCTCTTGGCAATTTGATCCCTGCTGCCAGTACCAAGTAGAGACTGATACCAGCAAATTACCGCACGTTGAGCTATTAGCTGTTTTAGGTCCGTCATCTCCAACGTTTCTCGTAAGAAAAGATGATAAGAGGAGAAGAATTCTTCATACAACTATTGCATTGGCAGCCTTCGGCATTACTGCCTGGAGAGTATATCAGGCGTTTAAGTGAAAAAAATTATTACTGGCATCGGTTTTGACTTATAGGCCAGAATGAATTAATAAGGTAGGCCACATGATGTCGAGTTTCATAGTAGTAGGCCTACAGAATTCCTTGACTGAAAGGAAACGTGCGAACTCGTTTATTCTCATGCCGTGGTACATTATGACACAAAGTATTCTCTCATTTTGACGATTGACTTATAACACTTTTTGATACTACCTCGCAGGTGAATGCTGCTTATGTGATGACTAAACCACATAAATACAAGTAAAGAGAGCCAGATTTTATCTGAGCTTTCACATTGGCATATAATTTGAGATCGTTACTCTTTGCGATCTCCATCTTGATAAAATTTTCAAAAATAACTATTGCAAAACTGGAAAGACCTTGCAATCTCTATAATGAAGAAAAAGAAATATTGACATAAGTGTTCTTAGAATGATTAAATTTATAATAGTACATATGGATCTAGCATTATGTATTTTTAGACTGTAAATAAAATAGGTAGAGAGAGAATACAATACGTATGATATGTAAAAGGGTATATTGCCTAGATTTTCTCACCCAACAAAACAATCTATGTTGAACTAGATATCAGAAAGATATATCGACCATAAAAACTCAATTGTAGATTTTATTATTTTATTAATCATAAATATAGAGTAAGATGTATACTTTTTTCATCAAGTGCGTGTACGAAACTTATTTACATTAATCCCGTCAAATGAAAGTTGAGATCGCAAACATTCCTACAAACAATTAACGATAACAAAAAGTAAAATTCTGTACATTATGTAAACTCTCATCACTTGATATAAAATTTATGATCGTACGAATGAAACGTTCTCTCGTTTGTGTGTACATCGACACAGGAGCTCAAAAGGTGAACAGTGTACATAATTCTGAACATTGCTGTAGAAATTACAAATCAACCTTAGGATGATAACATATACTTTATTATATTTTAAAATATCGTTATGTATAGCACAAATTAAGAAACGAGAATTGTAAGATTAATGTCTGGAAATCCATATATTTTGATCTCGTTCTAAAGAATTCTATTTTATACACAAAGCGTAAGAATATGCTGAACGTATTTCTATTAAAGATTTGTTTCTTTAAATATATATTAAATTAACAAATTACAGTACTAGAAAAAAAAAGTTCATTGCACAGAACAAGCTTATTACTAACAAAAAATTACATTACAGCAAAAAATGTAATCAAGTTTCATTTCAAGTATATTATAGTTTTTTCAGTATGCCTCTAAAGTGTCGTAGTTGCATTCTATATTTATTATATACAATGTAACTACATACCAGAACCGTTTACATAGTGATTACATAATATATGTAGTTATTAATGCGTGTAATCGCTCGATGTTACGTTTAATATTACATTTAATTATATTTTATAATACGATATAAATTTTTATCACGTTTCTTTACATAATATATTTTATTATATTAAAGTAAAGAATAGATATATATATAATACACCACTTAAGGAAGGCATATGAAAATGTGATCAATATATAGGATATTGGAATGGCTAAATTTGTCATGACAACTAAGATTTTATTATGGTAGACATATTTTTTAAAGTCTTATTAAAATTGTTATATTTTAAGTAAGTTTGTACCACTTAAATAAATAGAAAAGATTAAATGAAATGTTAACAATTTAAAAAATGATAATTTTATAACACTGAATAGTACTATAAACAAATGTGCTATCTATCACTCTTATGAACAATATATATATTTTTATTATACATTTAATTATATACAATCCTATATTTTGTCTTTACATTATAATATTCAAATATTTTAATATACAAATAATTATTAAATGACCATATATAATTAAAATCTTTATTATTATTTATTCACTTGTCACTTAAAATTCAAAATATTAAGATTTTATTGATTTTACGAATCTTATATCAAGAGATGGATAGCATGTTTGATACCTTTTCAGCGTTAGTTCCAATTAAAAGTTCATAGTAATAAAGTGTACATAATGTAAAGATACTCCACTAGTCAGAGAGTGGCTACGATATAAATAAAATATACTTTTGAATAGTGTATTTTATTTAACTGCTATTCCTTGCTAATATATATATATATATATATATATATATATATAGCTAATTTTCTTGCACGCTTTTGCATAATCCAGAAATAAAGTGAAGGGAACAAAGTTCTAAGTACTATAGCACACTTTGGAGAAAACGATGCAATAGTAACTTCCTTTTCTTGCTTCAATACAGATTTTAAAATACATTCAGCTACATACTTTGGTTGAAAACCACTTTCAGTTGCTTTATCCATTACTATAACAAAATGATACATATTAAAAAATTATATATGTAGAGAAATAAAATATATAAATTAAGATATTTAATATTTCTGTTAAAAACATAGTTACTAACTTCCATAAACTTGCCCATTTCCTGTCAAGGCATTAAGGGAAAGAGATGTTTTAATATATCCTGGATTGACAACCGTAAATTTTATATTTTTGTCAGATAACTCTGCTCTTGCAGTATCGTACCAAGCTTGTAATGCGTGCTTAGATGCAGCATATGCAGATCTAAAAATTAGCAATTACTAATTTTGAAAAAATTGAAAAAAGAATAGATATCGACTCATAATCGAATACTTGCCTAAATGGAATAGCAATTCTCCCTTGTACACTACTTATACCTACTATATGACCAGATTGTTGCTTTATCATGTATGGAAGAACAACTGTAAATCAATAATGAATTATAAGTCTATACGCAACAGTCTATACGTATAAATCTCTTAATTACTCACTTTTGCTTAATGCAACCTGAGAAAAATAATTCGATAGCATGACTTTTATATCTACATCCACATTTGTGTCAATAACTTCTCCTCTATATGAAACACCAGCATTATTAATTAGAATATCAATTCTGCCGTGTATCATTATAGCTTTTGACACTTCATCTTTCAAGTTATTAATATCAGTTAAATCTAATGATAAAACAATAGGTGGATACGTTGGAACTGTCTGAAAGAAAAGTAGAACAATTAATATCCAATAACTCTGCATATTGAAAATAAGCGTAGTATGTTACATACTTGATGAGTATTCATCAAATCTTTTTTTACTCTCTCCAACTCCTCTTTTCTACGAGATACCAAGATAACTCTGCAACCTGAGCCATAGAATATATGGGCTAAAGCTTCTCCTAAGCCGGAACTAGCACCAGTTATCATCACAACCTGAATTACATCAAATATAACAAAAATATGTAAATATAACATAAATATTCAAATTTTCAAATAAATATTCAGAGAGATACTTTGCTCATATTTTATACTTGTAACAAAAAGTTTTAAAAACTTTACAAGATATTACCTTGTCACCAAGAGCTGTTCTCTTCCACTTCTGTACCATAATATCATAAAAATGATACACCAAGCAAGGAATGGTGATTGGAAGACCGAATAATTTGAACAACCACCATGTAATGTTCCATCCCACTAAAGCTTCTTCCTTCTCGTTCTTCATGATAACACGAATTTCAATAGAATATTGACAGAATTAATGACAATATATTTAATTATTAAACTGACATCAATTATTATCCATGAGTTTAATTATTTCCTGAGCCTCAAAGATTGCCATTATTTAAGAAAAATAGTAGTTATACTCGCACAGTAATATCGTTTGTGTCAGTCGGAAATATAACCTTTGAAATTTGTATCTGATTATGTCATCAGATAAATGCTGTGAAGTTTGCCACTCTTTGCGATAAGACTTAATCCTTTTATTTGCACTTATTACACTTTATCAGTTTTCCTTCTTCAAAGACCTCAAAATGTATCTATTTATCTCACTTTGCAGACAGAAGTGTAAAATAAAGTGTGCACAGCTAAGAAAATCTCTGTGATTTACGTGATTTACTTGTTTAATTGGTCTCTTTTCTACAGATATTTCTTCGTAACAAGTAATTTTCATTTAAATAGCAACAAGAAATACAATTCGTAAACATAACATAAAAGAAAATTATTTAAAAAATCTTTTTAATTATCACACTTATTATTGATTGTATATTTTCCTTGGATAATCCAAAAAACAAATCAAATATATATATTTAATTATTTGAAAGTATCGAGAGTTCTTCCCTCGTTCTTCTATCGAAAAACCATTCGCTATCGCGCAACTTCAGACAGTTCCCGATATGGGGCACTACTCTATGAATAACCTCGCAGTATTAAGTATTGCAGCAGATAGTGTTAATTGAATCTTCAAAATGACTTAATTCACACTTTCGGGAATTTCTTCGCACCTTGTCGTATGTATCTTCAAATCACTGCAAATACGATCTTATAAATCATATATAAAACTGTATATCTTTCTTTCTTTACAGGACATTGTCGCTTGGTGTCACTACACATATTCCATAGAAAGAAAAAGGGAAAAAGGAATATATATATTATTCAGTGGCTACAAATTGTATCCAATAATCATCGTGACGTGTCACGGACGTCTAATAGAGCAAGAAACACGAGTACGCGACGTTCAGGTATGATTAATTCCAACTTAACCTAGAAGACCTAACTTGAGGTGAAACTAGGTTTCCTCGAGCATCCTCGTGCACATTGCAATACATTTGGTTAATATATGTTAATGTAATTCAAGTAACGAGCAGAATGGAGACTCACGAAGCTGAACAATACGTGACGTTTCCTCTCGGCGAAGTGCATGATGCCACAGAGGAAAACATGATATCTCATGAGGAGATATGTGAGCAAGTTGACGAATGTGTTCTCCAGGAAGGTCTTACGGAAGTCACGGTTGGTAATACTACTAGTACTGACATCGTAGAGTCGCAAGATGCTGTTGAAATCCTTGCGGAACAGTCAGAAGACGAAGACGACACTCAAGTAGTGTATCCTATGTACATCAAGCAGGAGGAACAGCAGCAGTATACATCAGGCGATGACGAGTCCATGGCTGTGGAAGCTCTACGTCAATTAGGCGGAATGTATCCATGCTTTGAGGACAAGAAGATCAGTTGTCCAGTCTGTAAGCATCTTTTTACCCAAGAGGAAATGATTGAACATCAGACTGTATGTCAGTCAACACCCAAGCTATCTTGCACTACTTGTGGAGAGAAATTTGAGAGGAAGATTGATTTGAACAATCATATGGTTTGTCATCAAGTGGATCGTCCTCATGCGTGCAGAACATGTGGCAACTTATTCCGTTCCAAGCAGAGTTTACAGTCGCATACGCTACAGGCGCACACACAACATGTTGAACGACCACACAAATGTACCATCTGTGGCTTAGACTTCCAGAGGCCTTCCAGCTTGTCCAATCATATGAAGATACACACGTATGTTGCGGGGCGAGCCATCATGCAGTCCCAGAGCAATAATATAGCCCAGCCAGTGGAGACATTCAGGAAATGGCCAGAAAACCCGCCTGATTCACAGAACGCTTCTCAGGTGGTATTATCCTCTTCATCTGTCGAGCCTGTACAAAACTATGATGTATGTCAAGTTCAATGGCCGGTCTCATCATATAATTTTCATAGCGGACAATCGATAGTTACTACAATAGCGAGTCAGGATAATAAGATGGATACGCTGCAAGAGTTTACAGTGATGCCCAATGGTGAAATGACGCAATTTAACGAGTATACCGAGCAAAATAATATCAATGATTCAGTAAACAACAGTCAACAGTATAATATAACGATAAATTCGTTTAACACCCCCGATGGGATAGTCAAAGTCGAGACGCTTTACAGGTACAATAATACGAATAAACAAGATTACACAGAAGCCGAAATGAATAATAGCAAGCAATACACGTGCAAGCATTGCGGAATGAAATTTTCACGTGCAACCGCTTTGGCATCTCACGAAAAGATTCATGCTTCGAAAAACAACTGGAATATGCCGATTGAATGCGAGTACTGCGACAAACAGTTTCAAGACGAAAATCACTTGACGACCCACCAAACCACCTGCGCCAAGAAAATAATGCAAAACAACATCGAGCAAGGTGTGCCTAACAATAAATGGGGCAAACACGCTTGCTCGGAATGCGGAAAGAAATTCACTACCAAGCAGAAGATGTTTCGCCATCAGTGGATTCATCGCAAGAAGACTCACTCGTGCGAGGTATGCGGCTCGCAGTTTGAAAAACAGAACGAGCTGGACGAACACAGGTTATCAGCACATCCTGGAGATTCGCCGTTTACTTGCATGGAATGCGGAAAGAGTTTTGTGTCGCGGCAGGGTCTTTGGGAACACGGTAGAACACACGCTGGAAGTCCGGCTCATTTTCAATGCGATACCTGTTTAAAAACGTTTTCGTCTCGTCAGGGTTATTTAATACACAATCGTACGCATACCGGTGAACGACCATATGGTTGCAAATATTGCTGGAAGGCGTTTCGAGACGGTGGAACTTTGAGGAAGCACGAACGGATTCACACGGGGGAGAGACCACACGTGTGTCCATTGTGCTCAAGGGCTTTTAATCAGAAGGTAGTCCTGCGCGAACATGTTCGATGGGTTCACGCAGCAGGGAAAAACGAAACTGAAGGGAGTAGTCCTCCGTATCAGTGTCCATTGTGCGGTGCTCTGAATCAGGATCGCGACGAACTCTGCGCGCACATTGTCAAGCATTCGGATCAGATGATAGCTGAAGCAAAGGCAAAAACTAATAACGACGCTTCTCCAAAGCCGAAATCTGTAAAGAAAAAGTCATCGAAATCATCATCGTGTAGCGTGAATACACAGACGGAGCAAAACTTGGACTTTATTCAGAAAGCGGAGCAAAACGAAGCCTTATTGTCCATCACGGATACGGCTGATAAATCAGATGATATGCATGATATAAATGAAAAGCAAAACGACGCGTTTGTTGTAGTTACCGCGGAAAAACATGATGGTTTTATAGCGATATCCGACCTCAAGCATAGCAATATACGGTTCATCGTGGATGGCAAAGAAAATGAGAACATTCAGGTACTCCAAGTATCTGATCAGGATCCTCTAGATACGGATTCTCTAGATATGATTGCTATAAACAAGCAAAATGACGCAACGAACATTATGTCCGCAGAATCCGATACACTTGATGAAACAGTTGGGCAGAATGATATGCCCACGATACATTTAATTGAGTCTAAACAAGACAACACTCTAAATATAATATCGAAGCAAAACGAATCGCTACCCGTTCTAGCGATACCCAATCCACAGAATCATGAGAATTACTCCAGTCAAATTGTACAGATAAGTGGCACGGATATGTCTATAGACGTTGAAACTCTGAAAGAGAAAAAGAATCATATAAAAAACGATCAAGATTGTTTAATGTCGGACGAAACATCGCATGTTATTATACAGTATCAACACGACAGCGATGACGAAAATGATTTAGTCTGCGAAATCTGCGATGAAAGATTTGAAGGCAAAGCTATATTAAAGGAACACATCAAGATACACATATAATAATATTATTTCCACTCTTTACCGTTTGCTTGTAATATTTACATGCTATTAATGACTATAGAAAATAATGTATGTGTGAGTATATGCATGATGAGTGTCCCTTACCAATGATTTATGATGCACAGAATTTATTTATAATCTGTATACAAGTAACATTCTAAACAAGTTTAATTTCTAGAGAAGAGTATGTAAGTAAAATAAGATACTGATTTTAATAAGAAGTTAATGTACATAAATTGCATAGTTAATGTACATAAATCTAATTTACAATATACATTTTAATTTTTTTAGTCAATTATATATATATGTACACAGGTTAATTTATATTTATAAAATCTTAAAGTGCTAATATGATTTTATTTGCGCATGCACACGCGCACATAACACGTACACACATATGTATGTGTATGCATATACCTTTTTTACTTGTGTTTTATAATATTTTTAATTTCAAAATTAATTGTTTTATTTATTTTTTTGAAATATATATTACAAAATTATTAAACAACTTATGATGTAGAGAAAGGACCCCGCACAAATCGTGTGAAAATGCGGTTTGCATTATATTTACTGAAACATATTTACTGAAAAGTGATATTTTGTTAATTATGAAATACTGATCAAAAGTTTCTTTAGACAAAACCATAAAAAATAGATAAATTTTTTTGTAACAACATATAAAAGTTGCTACTTTAATCTAATCGGATTGAAAAGTATCTTCATCTGCTAAACTATTTATTTTTTGTGTTCCAAACTATACTTTGGAAGTCAGTCGAAACGTCCGGAACTTGGAGTGGTTTTTTAACCTTGACATTAAAGTATTGTTACGCACTTAGAACCGCGGTGATTGTTATTTACTCTCATTTGCCCTTTATACAAATAAGTTGTGTTTGAATTTTGAGAGTCCATTAAATCTGTTAATTTTAAACTTTAATACTTTTTTTTACACAGAATAATGAGGTTAATTAGTTGAAGGAAATAACATGTTTTTTTTTTTTTTTTCGAAAAAGTATACAGTTTGCAATATGCATA